GAAGAAGCTTAGCAGATTAACGGTGGCCGATTTGAAATATCTGTTTAATTTGGGTCGTACACGAACCGATTTGGCTGCCGTGGCCAGTGATACACCACAGCCAGGTTCCTTCGTACCAGCTTCATCACTTATGAGCACCAATACAGATCCGTCTGAAGCTCGCAGTAGATTCGAGACCGATTGAAAATTTGTCAAAAACCAGAATTATGCGTTGGTAATTTACTGATTGCGATAGATCTTTAATTTAAAATTAGTTTTGTTTTTTGAGCCTGAAACGCAGTTTTTTGTCTCGTTAGCCCCGAAAATAGACTTGTAAAAAAGTCTTGTTTTCCAAGTTCTAATTTTTCAGGTTTTTAACCTAAAATGCGGTTTTCTTCTGTCTCTACGCCGAGAACTTGCCCCTCAAAATTTGAGCGTGAAAAGAGGGTTTTTCCAGTATTTAGGCTTAAAGTTCAAATTTCGCATGTCTTTTTCGACTCGATTTTCTGTTTTAGATGTGTTGATCTTTGACCGGCCTGAAATCATTGATTTTTGATTTAACATTGAAAGCCTGTACATTACTACCTTCAAATTCAGTATCACCTGCTCATTCGCAATGCATTATTCATGAACTTTTCGCGTCCAGCGTCAGGAATTTCTTTCGAAAAACGTAATTTTTTGGTGGTATTTTTTTCAGGGAAACAAGAGTACCAATAGGTAAATCTTGGACGTATAGTGAATTTCCAAAACAGAAGCACTTTGACGGAGGAAGATCTAGTGGTACTTGGTCCTGAGGTCCTGATTAACTCTCCCGGCTGCCCCTTCGTCGTTCTCAAACGTGCTTATAGCTAATTTACATTCTCATTTGTTACACAGGTAACTTTGTTATTTTCTTCCATTCGTCTTCTCATCATTTGTCTTCCCATTTCAGTGATTTTTGCTTTAGAATTTTGCTTAAATTTTAATGAAATGTTCACTTAAACTGAGTCATATCTGTAACATGTCTTTGATCTTTGTATCTTGGATATTGTCAGATCTTTTAAATCTGTATAGAAGAAAAAATCTTTACTCTTATTGAATAGGATTTACTCATGCATGAAGTTCCAACTGCTCTGTGAACAGCTTATTTGCCCTGGATATAAATCCATGCAGCTTACGGATGGCGTTTTATGTAAAGTTCTGAATTTGAAGTTTGTAGATATTTGTGTCAAGGCTTCTAATTGTTCTGCAGCTGTTTGGAAATTTCATAGATTTTGAAAAAAAAAAGTGTTGGTAAACCCCGTGTTTATAGGTTCTGGATGTTACATGTTGAATTGACTTGTATGTCTGTATAAAAACAATCTTCATTGTCTAATATCCTCATTTACAAAACTGCCTCTTATTTGAAATTTTACTCAAATGTTGGTGCTTTATTAGGCGTAGTTTTCTCAATTTTTCTTTTTTTTCCAGGAATATCCAGATGCTAGAAAAAAGTGGAAAAACTGCGCTAAATTGAGCTAAGAATCGCCTAAACTAGGCTTTATTGGCTGCGAAAGTAGCCAAAAAATATTCACGTCATTAACAAGGGGAAACTGAGTTCAGAAAAGTAAATTTAAAGAAATCAGGTGTATCTGACTTGCTTCTTCAATTTGGCCAAAAATTTGAGATTCTGTTATTTCTTGTGAAAATTTTCCAATAATCCTTACGGGATTTTCGGGGTAAAATTTGAGGCAATGAATTAATTCAAGTGGGGCGAAAATTACTGTGACTCATTCTTGTTTGTTTTGTGAATTATTCTTGATATACTCTATGCATATGTGTCAGTGCAGATAAATTTTTGGACATTCCATTTGGTGCTTTTTTAGAGAAAAGTGTTTAATCATTATCACTTACTAATAACGAATTTTACAGATTCGATTGAGAGAAATTTCACTTTTTTCGCTTTTCCGCATTCCTCGTACAATGTCATTGTCCAGAAGTGCTGGTCATCGAGCTATTTGTCCCTTGTGGGAGGGGCGGGGGAGGGGGGAAGCATTTTGGAAAAAAATGATTATTCCCAATACATAATACTTGATGATCTGTTTCTTTATCTACCACAATTGTCACCTAGGCCGACGTGGAGAATCAGTGTCGCTGAAGTATTCCCTTGTTCCTTGTGAGAAACTCTCTCCTGCCGTGGATTTACATAGTTCGGTTTGTGCTTATGCCTCGGCTACGCACACATTTTGTTGAGCTTGCCCAGGATGTTCATTTTTATGCTTTTTTTTTGCACCTATGCAATGCAAAGAACGCAGATTTTCGAGGAGAATTGCCTTTGTGAATGTCTGTCTTTATGCATTTAGGTCTGTACTGTTTTTTCATCTCAAGGCCAAGAAAAGCTGCGAGCCTGAAACATTGACAACTTAGTATACACCTATGTACGGGCCTTTATCCTCAGGACGATTGCTTACATTCATGTAATTCAAAGATACGGGCCTGTGAAAATTTTTGGCGGGTAGTTGTCAACTGAGGAACAAGAAAAGCTAGAAAGTTGAAAATTTGTGGGCAACAGGAATGGATAGTTGATTTTTTTTCTCGTCAGTCGAGCACAACAGATTGATTTTCAGCAAAATTAACTAAGATTTTGTTACAGTAGCGTTCAGAAATGGGCTAAAATGATGGTGTATTGTTACGTAGAGGAAAAGCACAATGCACCGAACAAAACCCGACGTGGCACGATTGATCCGTTATGCGGAATCGCTAGATTCAAAAGTATCCGAAGATTCACGAGAAGCGTTACAAGGATTAGTAAATCAAGGTTATCTTTTCCTAGACATGATTGTTCGATGTTTTTGTCTTTATTATGTTAAGATAGTGACTTACGTCTGATAATAATAACGATAACAATAACAACAATAACAATAACAATGAAAATAACATGAATGATAATTGGCCAACGCACGGGTTGCCCGTGTGAAGATGCGTTTTTTGCATGGTTCCCCGCAGCTTTTGCCGCTTCCAGCATCGGTTTTTTCGGGAAATGATTCTGGCTAAACAAATTAGGACTGGCCACCAGGGCTGGCGGCAAACACCCCCTTAAAATTTAAGCTTTCTAGTTTTCCTGGCCCCTGAGTTATCAATTTACTGGAAAA